GATACAGACGAGCAGACGGATCACCTGATGGTAAGTGATTACCGTCGCTGCCGGCCTTTGAGGGACGAATCTGATCATAGGGAGGAAAGGGTTGAGGGGTAGAGGGAAGGGAATAGGGAGGGGTTGGGCCTCCGGTACCCTCACTCACACGACGAAACACAACGCAAGCGTTGCTTCACGTCGGTTTTCTGTGAGACCGTGGTATCACTCCGGCGAGCCGGCCCATTCATGCCGAAGCGAGCCGAAGTGTTTGCTTAAAATTTGTAATCTCGTTTTTTTATCCTTCGATAAAATACATAAGAACCACCAATACCGCGTACAATTGTAAGAAAATCAAACAAATTCCCTCTTTCATAATTGATGTAAACGATTTTTGATTATTTACGAAAATTGAATACTTTGTTTTATTTTAATATAAGCTCTATATAAAACAGAGTTGAATACGTTTCAATTAAATTCCACCAAGCGAATTAAATTAAAAACGAGATAGTTTATGAATTAAATACAAGATATTTACCTGCTTCGATATCTCGCTGACTGTACGTACGGACATATATTATAGAGTTTATGGGGTTGAAATTAGCTTAAAGTAACATACAAACAATAACAAAAAATATCAAATCGTACATAATCCTCGTTCTTATATTACATCTTAAACAGCATAACACCTAATGACTTTCACCTACTGACATTCCATGTATTCACTTTAATATCAACAACTGTTCAATGATAAATTTTGCAGACGGGAGCTTCGTACCGCAATTACAAATGTCATGACCGCTTGTTAAATTTCGATTTCAATGTTCTAATAGTTATTCAGTAAGTTGTTCGTCTTCTTTTTCAAGATAAATATTAAAATATCGTCATTCGTTATCCAATAAATCTTAAATCATGAAAAATAAAACGGTCTAAGCTGTCTCCTATATTGCTCAATTATAGATTTATTATCAATTACACAGTTTTGTATCTATTCCGAGTAAGGTTTAACGAGAGTGTCAGCCACAGGAAATCATCTTTGCAGTCGCGTGTCTGCGACAAAATTAAATTAATTACAGAAAAAAAAAGTATCCTTTCGTCTTCTTTACTCGTTTATTGCACGAAATGTGGTCCCAGACGGAGCGACTTGAATTGAGAGCAGAAAAGTATAGAAAATATATTTTTAGTATCCTCAAATATAATAAAATAAAGTGCCCCGATCACGATCTATTTGAACGAACGAACCACACTTCTACACATACGTTCAATATGATTTTTGCTCTTAGATAATAATAAATTCATGAACAGGTTTTATGTAATATTTTAATCATTAAAGATTCATGTAAATTGCTTTAATAGTAACAATTATAAAAGAAACTGATTACATGTAAATTGTATAAAAAATATTATATAGTATTTAAAATAAAGAAAAATCTTTGTTCTTTTTTATGCTGATTCCGAAGTGAGGTATAACATTAGGCATACTTAAGATGGAAACTAGTGTGGAGTAATAATACTCTCTTTTTGCGTAAAAATATATTTAGCAAATTAAAAAATTACACACACTTTATTCCATGTGTTTGACACACTGCAAGGAGAGTAGTGATTCGTATAAATATAAGGAAATTTTCGCTATTTCCTGCCTAAAGATAATTTTAAGACAATTTCAACTATTATTAATAATAAATACACCAAAAATATTACAAATTAACGGACTTCCAGCGTATATAAATATCGATAAAACCCCAGAAATGCACTAGAACTAATTGAAGAGATTATAAAGAGCTTATTTCATTACTAAACTTACGTTAGATCAATTAGTGCCATCCCTTTTTATCTTTAATCTTTACAGTACCTATTATTAGAGTGAAAATTTCTGTGGCTAACTGTATTTATTCTGCATAAAAGCTAGTTTGTAAATAGAGTATTGTTTCTTAGTTGCACTGAATGGCGACCGGTGTCACGATTGCAGTTCCATTCCAACCATTATATCTATTTCATGGTCATGATTGTGGTAACTTTAGCTAAAGTGTGATAGTTCCTCATCAACTCATTGACACAAAGCTGCTGCATTTCAAGCTTTAAAGCTTTAAATATCAGCGTAGGGTCGCTTACACACACAGGTAGAATTTTTTATCCGTTATATTGAGAAGGTCAATTTTGGTTTTGGTTAAGTGTTTTGTACAAATTATGTTTTAGAGAGTGGGCAAAAGAGATTCATAAGCTAATCCCCAATTAGCCTACACAATTTTTAACCATTGACAATCTGAACCTCCAGAAGGATCACCTCAACCTCATTTGGTAAATATTGCAAACCATCGCACAAAACGTTTCTCATCATTATTTTATAGACTTTTGTCACCAACCGTATATTCCCGAGAGCATATAACCCAAGTTCATCTAAAGTGAGAGCAAATAATATCCTTCTGAATACGCTTGTCCTATCGTAGATTTCACATACATGATTTCAATCTGGATTGAGATAAAATGGGCCTTTAAATTATTATATTATCTGCCTATAATGTGTGTCTGAATATTTGAGCACAATGAAGTCAATAACTACCAAACGTATTTTCACCAATATACAAAGAACTTTACGAGAAAAATTTGATATGTCTATTAAGATTATAAGTGTATGGATTAAAGACTGTCAGTGAATGTGTAAAACGTTGGAAAATTCCATTAACTAGATGCAAATATACTCTATCTGTAAAAATGATGTGAAAGATCTAATCTGACTTGTCATCAAATATAACATTTACTAAATACATGTATTCTTAAAGAAAAATTCTTAAAAAATCTACTTTGTCCCCGGCACGAACCCTTGACCTTTCGCAATCCGGGGACTGCAGCCGCTTGCCATCTCAGAGTGCCAGGCACAAAAAATTTTTTTTAAGCATTTTTAAGTGTAGCTTTGTGAATGCAAACTTGGGCAGATATAATAAATATAGGTGGACAGAATATATAACATACAACATAGACAAAGTGTTGCCAATAAGAGGATACCAAAGCGCATCACCCGTTAGGTTTCACCCATAATGAAAATGAAAAAGCTTTTGTAAACTACAACGAAACTTTGCCACTTTAAATAAATCATCATCCATTTTAATTGGTTACAAGTGATTTGTTCTAAACAAAAGCTTCCATTAATTGAAATATCGAATAACTACCACTCACAGAGTTATTACTTAACAAATTTACAATTCATGATAAATAAAATATGAATTTTAATAATTAAAGCGGAGCTAAAATTGCGACGATCTCTCAATGTTTCTTTAACTGTTAATTAAGGTAAGTGGATAAGATCACATTGACCAGATTAATTTAATTTTCCCTTTCAACCTACGTTTCGTTAAATTCTTTATCCTCTCGACATTGAATTATGAAAGGGGGAATTCCTGTTGACATAACCTACTTATTGAGATGTTCTTTAGTACAATAAAAACGTTAAATTAATTTGCTGTTAAAGCGTGTTTACAATATCAGCGCGGAGAGTAGATTTGAAATGTGGATATTTGTATCTTTTGAGGTAATCAGAATATATAAAACATATTATGTAACCGTTAAATTGTAAGTAGATCTTTTTTCTTTGTTTATGCAATTATACTCTACTAACTTTGACTATTAATAATTAGTGTCAGCATCCTAATGTAATTATCGACAGCGGATTTTAGACTATATAATTAAATTAAAGATAAATTAGGCAAGAACAAAATATATATTTTAAAGCAACTGGCTTTTATATACAACACAAGTAAAAGATAGACAGAACAATAAACAAAAATACCATCGGCGTCGAACATCCTTCTCCTTTTCGATTTTGAAATCGTTCAATTAAAGTAACAAATGTCTTAAAATTTTTAATAGTAAAAATATAAAAATTGTCTTAATTGGCTGACGAAGCCGTCGTCTACTTACATGCCGCTTAGCATTAACAATGGGATGCAGCTTGAGTATATTTTATAACTCTTAACAATTTACTCTTACTTATTTAGAGACATTTTTTATACTTATTATTACTCTGGTGTTTAGAGATTATTACGAAAACCATTAGTTCTTGTTCTTTGAATAGAATATATATTTCGCAATAAGTAAATGTCACTGTTACATGTTTTCAAAGAAGCAATGGATAATTATGTTGTGTCTAAATGCCAGTTGCGGCTCAAGATTCCTTTAGTGGTTTACGATAAGGCAAGAAATGATTTAGGCAGGCTGGTACTCAAGAAATTAATTGTGAATCTATTGGTTGGATTTCGTATATCATAAATTAATGTATAATAGATATATAGCCAATTGATTTTTATTATTTTGTGAGTGGATGTAATAGTTTTTTTATCGATGAAAGAGTTTCAACTTGACCTGCCGTTGTCGTTGTTTCTATCTGAACTGAAATCGAACGCGATAAACTTAGAAACTAACGCCATAGCTTAGTCACTTTTAATTACAAGGTATCGTCATCTCTGAATTCCCAGATCCTGTCTCAGTCGGTTTATGTCTCTGGTCTGGGTGTTGTGGTACCGTCATTGTGTCATATACTTTATAATATAAGGGCTGTACTATTTATCTTGGAATCTGAGTAATGTATGTTGTTTAATATTGTCTAAAAATAGATTTAATTAACCTCCTAAGACCTTTTGTGACAGATTTTGCACGGAATTATGTTTGTCTATCGGGGCGAAATCAAATAAAGTGTCCATAGTAATAAAGAAAATCAAACAATATTTATATATAGATAATGAAAAAGAAATGGCATCACAATATCGTATAAAACCTCTCCAAATTTCAAAATCCCTACGTAAGAGTGCTTTATCGCTTACAGCAAATATGAGTTTAAATAAAGCCTAAAAATCAATAAAAAAAAACGGAATATCAAAACTATGCTTTTACCCGAACTCGTTAGGTATTTGTACCAAATTTGCTTAGAAACGACGGCATGCCACGTCCGTTTAAAAATTAAATACCCATTTCATACGCGTCGATTGAATCTGTTCGCGTGAAAAACAAGTAGGTAGGTATAGTAATTCTCACACAATCACACGTATCTGTTGGTACTCTGCTGAGAAATCACAATTTGTTTTGGTTTTCATATTTTCTTTTGTTCGACGTTGAGTGATGTCTGCGGCACTTTGTACGAAGTAAATTTTAATATTTTCTATGAGCAAAGAGGATACTATCTTTACTACTTTACCTAAAACTTTATTTATATAAATAATAAACAATATTACTGTCAAATTTGATTTGATTCTGTGAAGATATCTCAGCTTATTGTACAGAGGATAGCACTTTACCAAAAAACAGTCGATTTTTGTTTCTTCAAATTTAATGTTTTTTAAGTACCGTTTAAAATCGTTTGCAAATTTGATATTTCATATTAACATAATATGGTGATGCGTGTACAATTAATGAAATTGTCATTAACTGAATGCGCTTTCCTAGGAACTCGGCTGTTTCAAAAATTATAGTTGTGCCTAAAAATTAAGCAAAATTCCTCTAATTACTCAAAAAACTCATACATAAGATACTCCTGTGATGATTACAATAAATTATTAATTATTGTTATCATTACAATAAATAATTTTTTCATCGTCGAACGGCAGAAAAATGCTTCATGCGTTTCGATTAAATTTTATATAAAATTTCGTGAAATAGGTACCAGATTTTGGTAGCAGTATATTGTATATCGTATCACATTAAAATAGTTTAAAATTAATGCAACTCTAGGTCTATTTTTATATCCTTTTTATTGTTAATCTAAATAGTGTAAGACTGTTTTTTTCCTTCAATAAATAAATAGTTTTTGTCAAAAGAATGACAACCTTTTCCCTCAATGCAGAAAAATGGGGAAGTATTTCATTTAGGTAGATGTGGATTTTATTTCATTTCGTATGAATGCCGTGATTTCGTACATATATTGCCGTGTACATCACGGCAATATATGTAGGCTGCAAGAATAAATCATCTCCCATTAAAATAATTAAAGAACATGGCAAAAATAAATAATGTTTACATTAAAAATAAATTATTTAATTATACTTATTTTTATTTATGCTGTCATAATAATCCAGACCAGAGGGTATGTACAGAGGCTGCACTCACCTATGACATATGAGTATCCATCTAAAGTGAGGACGCATTTCCTGGGCGCACCCGAGGCGGACCTGTGCCTGTGCACCCTGGGGGCGGACCCCAGCGCCCTGCCCCCGCCGGGGTCGCTGTGACACTTGTGCACCAGCTCCTTGTCGTTCGCCACACCGCCGCCGTCTATGGACCCTTGCCTGCTGCCCTCCAGCAACGCTTTCCCCCGTCGCATCATCACATCATACGCTATCTCCACACTGTACACTCGACGTTCACCGCACTGAACACGCACTTTTCCAAAATCTAACATCCACTAGTTTACAAATCACTCGACGCACAAAACCCGCGAAATATAATGTTTACGATATCCCACAATGTTTTGATATGTTACAGCTGGCTAATAAAAATCATACTTTATAAGTTTTCATTGGCGCCATCGAACTAACAGATTAAAGGTCATTAGCAACAATTTTTTTCCTATATGAAAATAAAGTGGAAATAAAAGATATGAATGGAGGGAGGCGGCGAACAAACAGGATTATGGCATTTACGATAACTGAAGATGTTATCGTTTATCGATTTGTGTCTATTATGTTTATTGATGAGGAAAATATCTGAATCTCGTGTCACCGTGTGCCGGACAAACGGTAGTTTTGTAATAATTCGTGTCATTATTATAATGACTATGTATTGAATATTCTTGTATGTTTTATTATCTATTGTTTTGTATATTTGTTGGATCGCACTCTCAATATATACATAATGTTCTTTGCAAAAACTGAAAACATTAATACAACTGTTTTGAATCATTTCGTTTACTTGTATGTTTCATACTAATTACAAATACTACAAATTCATTGTCTTAACGAAATATGCTAAACGGACAATGAATGAACTGTTGTGCCAGATATCTCGATAATGTAGCATAAATTTAACGCTTACTAACGTACAAAATAACAACGCGTTCCGAAATTTTATGTCTTAAGTGAGAAGTTAACGTTTTTATAATCATACTGGTCTAAAGACCATAACTCATGGGAGCTGGAGGAACGCGGAAATCTATTTTCACGCGAACAGTTGTTTCTCCGCTATGGTAACGCACACGAAAGCTCATAAAACGTTGCGTCATGCCCCGAATAGGGGAGGGGGAGTCCCATTTGTAAACAGATTGTGACCCTGTCCACCGGACTTAGCCAAATTGCAAGCAACAGGTGGTTCCGAATTCGAGAAGCTCACGCACTGAGTAACTTGTAACATAAAAAATATATGATGTGATTTTTATGTCGTTTTTGACATGGTCGTTGTGTATTTAAGGGCCAGCTGTGACCTACCACTAGGTAAATGGTACGGACGGAGGAATTAATGGTCTACGGCGGCATCGTGACCACAACCGATCCGCGTGGAGGCCTGCGCGCTACTGCCGGCCGAGCGAGCCACATGCTCAGCGCCGCCACAGGTAGGCGCTGATTAGAGCTGATCATTCGCAGTTTCGAATTCGTATTCCCAGGGGTATTGAGTAATGATTAGTTGTTGATACACTGTTGTACTGTTCAATTTTATCCGATAAAGCGACCTTATTATCGGCTTTTTGTCTACTAGGTGGAAGTAACAATGAAAAAATACTTGGACGATAAAATACTACTGATTTTCTTTGTTTTAGAATCACGACTGGGTGACTTCGTGCAACCTTATATTTAAAGATCGGCCGGCTCGTCCTTTTCTATAAGAAAATCAGCCTCAAACTCCACGTCGTATCAGTACTCACTGACACAGCATAGAGCTTCAATGAAATAAAACCACAGCTTTTTTTTTAATATTAATAATAACAGATTTCTTATCTTTTAAAGTAAGTTTTATTTTTTTTGTAAGTTAATTTTTTTATGTGAGTTCAACATTACAGTATTAGTATATTATGCACTTTATAAAAATTGCCACACGACATTGGCCTTTGTAAATTTCATCACTAGTCATATTTTCTGATTTTTCTGGGCAACATTATATAAATATTTTTCTTTCAAAAGTTATGAGAAATATAAATATTACACCATAAATACTTTATTTCACACTGACTCGCCGTTCATCGGCGTTACATTTCTGCCATCTTTTATTCTATTGCCAACGATAAAAAACAATACTCTCATAATTTTTCGCAAGATGTCGTTTTCAATTCAATCCATGTTCTTTTTTTTGAGTTTCTTACATTTAAGTTTGTAAATTATTAAATTGAATTTGTTTAATCATAATAATAACCTTTTAGAAATACATGAACATATAGTTGAACGACATTAGAAGGTACTTTTTAAAATTAGTACCCTTTTGTAAAATTGCATATTACATAAATATCATACTTTTTAATACGCAATAATCAATATTAATCTTTTATTTGTAACAATATTAATAAAATACAATAAGTAATAATAATCTGTACTGTTTACGAATACAAATACATGAATATGTGCGATCATGGAAATTCAATCAATACTACACTTATTAATTACAGGCATCGTCATTTTACAAGTATTTCTTTATTAATCAAAGTAATAAGTATAACTATAATAATAATAGGCTTACAGTAGGTTCCTGATATTTAAGATTGTAAAGGTTAGTACTTACTAAAACCTGATATTTTACCTTGAAAATAAAAGGAATATTTTATTAACAACAACTTTTTACTAAGTGATACATAATAACTTATTCTGAGTCTAACACTTTTATAATATGTTCTTATTTGTGCGGGCGGTATCCTTCTTTCTTAAACAAACAGAAAGTACTATAGTCCCAGATCCCTTCTAACTTCCAGTTTTATTAATATTTTATGAGTGTGTCGGGTTGCTATATACTTTCAACTGCTGAACTAAGTTTTTGTTTAAACTAAGTTCCAAATCTAAGTCTAGGGGAGCGACGTAAGGTTTTAGGATTTATCACTCGTATCATCAATTAAAGTTTGTTTGCTGAATTTTCTATTGTGTTTAATTTAAATTAATTAAGTGATTCTATAACGATTCGTTTTTTCATGATATAACGATGATAGAATTGATCTGTCCAATCACAGGATATTAGTGATTGGTTTGCTGACATTGCCAATATTACTGATTTATTTTAAAGCCGTGAAACCATAATATCTAGCAATTTTCACACCCAGTCAGTATCCGCAAGGGCTGCTGTGTACCGCCTATGTGTTTGTGTACGAAATACACATGTGCAAACGGCAACAAATCTCGCAAAATCACGACTCTCCATGTGTTTTATCTTCGTTTTCCTTCACGGAGCATCCTCAGGAGTTGTGAGGATTGCCAATCATTGTGCATTTTGTCAGATTAATCAGGAATTTTGTTACGTCGTAGAGCTACAGCTTCGACCAATTGCCGTCTCCACTGCTCCTCTATAACAATAAGTGAATTCATTGCCCAACAGCCTGTGTCTAAGTTACAGAAAATTATATTGAAAGTTCTTGGGTCATCACCATATTAATATCCTGGGCACGAGAACGTGCCATAACTCACCACTAGGAGTCATTGTGGATTGATGGGTATTAACGGCTGCAGATCCAGTCGGGACCAAATTTGACATACCGTTCGAAGAACTAAGTAACACATTTTTGGTCACCATCATTGCTGTGCCTGTCGATGGATGACAGACATAGAATTAACCCCTGCGTGATCGAGCTCCTCTGTTGATAAGGAATAAAAATGGGTTGAAAATATCAACTTCATAGTCGAAGGCTTAAAATAATCATCAATTTTCGACAATAATAAACATATTTGATTAAAGAAAAATACGTTAAATAAACGGCAGTGGAGGACTTACCTCATCTGAAGCCCGGGGCGGCAATAGGCCTTTACATTTTTAACTTTATTTTATTGTTATGATTTTAGTGGATGGCTGCAGGTATTTAGAGGCCCCCAGGCCCGGGGCGAACCGCCCCTTCCGCCGCGCCGTCCCCTTAGCCCGCCAATGCGAAACGGCTAGGTAGATTGTTGAAGATTGAAGGTGAAGCGCTCATTAGATTAAAGTAGCAAGTGCTTATAGTGATTCGTCAGTCTAGCTACTACATTTAATAGATTTCAATTAGACAATTAGAGCAGTCGCCCGGATTGTGGAAGGTAATCAGTTCGAGTTCCGTTTCAAACACAAAGATTTATTGGATTTTAAGAATTTTTAGACATTATTCTATATGATTACAACACTTCAGTATACTGAATGTATAGTAATCACACAATGATCCTTAAATGAGTTTAATATTAGTTAGTACATATAGGTATGGTATTGTTATACAATGTTTTTTATTTTATTTTATCGAGGTTGATAACATTAACACGCAAATATTCTGCTTAACTTTAAAACTATGCTAGATCTTTTCTCCGACATCTAATGGTGAAGTTAAAACTTATTTTAATAACTTTATTATAATACAATTTCATATAATTTATGACTGATGGTAATACAATATTACGTATGAAGTAATTGTAATATTAAGTTGTTATGTACAAATAATATCACATTATTGGCACAGCTGTTGCGTACAATTAATTTTATGCATTTACACATGCAAATTATTTAGTAACGAATTTTTATATAGCATTGCGTAGGATAGTTTAGCAATACATATATTTTAAATAAAGGTATGCACTTCAATATTTAAATGAAAACGATTTATGTACATTGACTCTGCAGAGTAGATGATTAAGTAAATTCTTGATTTAATTAAATATAATTAATTAAATTTAATGGTTTACGCTTGGTATTAGTCAAATGTTTGTGTGCCGTAATAGATATAGATAGCTACAATGAAACCTCCTCTAATTTTGACAGAAGAAGATGTGGCCGTCCACGTAGTGTTCAAGAATTAGAAGAAATCCAAAAGATAAATCTCGGGAGATGAATATAGCACCTAGAACCATGTCACGTATTTTAAAAGATGTCTTAGGACTTGCAGCCTATAAGAGATGCACTGGTCATTTATTAACAGATAATATAAAAAAGAAAAGGCTGATAATAACTACTCAAGCAGTACGCAAAGGGAGGTCATAGAAAAATGTTGTTTACGGATGAGAAAAATTATTTTATTAACAATATTTTAACAAACTAAATGACCGTATTTATACTCTAAAAAATAGAGTACAATGTGGGTATTATCCGACTTCAGGTATGGTTTAGTGGGGTGTTAGCTGTGAAGGAGTGATCGAGCCATATTTTTGTGAAAAAGGTAACAAAACATCGACACAAGTGAATCTAGATACCATTCTCGAGAGAGTAGTTAAAGCCCTTAACAACATCATGTTCAATAACCAAGAATAGTCCTTTCAGCAAGACTCGGCGCCAGATCATAATGCTCGATCCACCCAATCTTGGTTAGAATCGAACGTTCCGGACTTCATCAGAGTTCAAGACTAGCCGTTATCTAGTCCAGATCTTAGTCCGCTGTATTTATGGTCAGTTTTAGAGAGTAAGGAAATCCATACGATTGGCAGTTAAGAATATTTCAATGTAAAAAGTGCGTGCGGCTATTGATAACCGGTCTCAACGTTGAAAGCACTGTATTGTAGCTAATGGAGACCTCTTCGAATAAGTTATATATAGTTAATGGTTTTTAGTTAATGAATTAAAGTAACATACTCTAATAGTAACAAATATACCGTTCAATAAAAAAAAAAAATAGATTTTCTGTGTTACACTTTATATGGCAAGATTATGTATCTATACATATTATTTAGTTATTGACGGAATATCATTTAAAAGTCGTTAATTATAAATCAGAGTAATTACGTAATGACGCACGATCAATAGTTTTCAAATCTAAATTGACGTTTCAATTTTGAGGTTAGTGGAATTGTTTTGGCCTCTAGAGAGATCTTATTTTTTTTAATAATGAGTTAGCAAAATCTTTAGAGTTATTATCTATAATATAAGTTTCTCTATTCCACCATAACTTTTAAATAACTAAACGGATTTCAATGTTGGGAATATTATTAGAAACATTATTTCATACAGAGTGACCAAGAAGAACACACCGACTAGGGTGAGAATTCGATGACCTTGCTTTTGATCACCCAAATTCAAGTATTTATTGAATTCGTTAATCGCCCATTTGGTTTTTCTAAATTCCCCTTCTATTTTCTTGAAGTTTTTGAATTTTCCGTGACAACCATATCGTAAGTAGTCCATTAATATCTGAAAAATAATGCAGAAGTAACATCTAGTCTGCAATTAATAGCTCGGAAACTATTAATGTGTGTGGTGCTGTGAAACTGCCGCTAGTCGGCCGAAAACGCTCCCTACAAATTCAAGGCACTAACTGACGTCACACAGTGCAACGGTAGTGAAAAAAGTATGGGCATCTTGGCAATCTTTGTCATATTTGTTTTTTTGTGCGTTTATAATCATAGCTGTTGTTACGTTTTATGTAACTAATTGAATGCCATATGAATTTTAGCAAAATTTTGTAATATATTTTGATTACTTTTTTCAAGTTTTCAAACCGTAATATATTCCAACTAAGTGTCATAAAATTTATTTTATTAAATATTTATACGTTAAAATGGTTCATATTTTCCGAACATATAACACAAACCTGTATTTTCACTTGTGGGACGCAACCCTATTTAAAGGAGCGAGTGGAGTGTAAATCTTCTAGAATTCTTTATATAACACCAATTGAGACCAGATTTTCATTAAATTCTAATGTTTGGTGAGACCCCCTCTGGTGTATTTTTTTATTTAAAATAACCGTTTATTATTGGCGATGATATCGTGGGACGTAAAAAATCTTTGGTCGAATTGAGAACCTCGTTCCTTTTTTAAAGTCTGTTAATTACGGGATATTTCAAGTCATCGTGAGCTGCACCATTAATCAATTACAAAATAGAAATAGTCTATGTAAACAGATGTGTTTTAATTGTGTAGGCAGTAAGGCACGGTTCGCGTGCGGCCCAACGCTCGCCGACAACTATTTGTTTTATCGCCCCACTAGATAAACACACCGCCGGGGAAATTCCCTACACTTTTCTAACTATTTTCTTTTAATTTTGTTTTGATGTCTGAGCTATTTATATTGCATCCTTTACTTAGGGTAATAAATTTAGATTACTATATTTTTTAAACAACTCTAATATTTATTCTTCGAAAACAAAGGTGTACAATTGGTGTTAACAATAAAGAATTTTTCATTCATTCATTCATTCAACAATATCTCTCATATGTTAAATTTAGTAGTAATAAATAATGATAAATAAATTTATAAAATACGATTACTTTACAACATATTTTAATTTCTGCAGATTATTCTATGCATAGAAATAAAATTTTTATATTTACAATATTTTTATAACTTTGATGATTTTGGTGCGAAGCACAAACTTTTTAAAAAAACCTGGATAATAATTTATTTTTACAAACAGTCCAGCGGTTATTATTATTTTTTGAAGTCCGAGAAAAGTTCTAAGATAAAAAACAAATATTAAGAGGGACACAGTAAAAAAGCGTAAGTTTTCACTGTTCTATTTATAAAGGTAGCTGGATGAGATTTGTAAAATACTTGTATAGTATATAATAAATATACAAAAAATAATACAGCTATAGGAACTACCTACGCTTAGCAATTAGTATTCCTTGGAATTTTGTCGACCACATAAATTTTACTTTGTGCTGAGAGAAAAACAAATTCTATTTTTACTCAGCTTACATTAATGGCAGGGAAGGCTCAATCGCTACTATATAAAAGAGAAATCATAGAGTACCTACTGTTAATGTTATAAGATATATATAAAAAATATTTTATTATTAGAACACCTTCGGTAAAAAAATTGGTTCAGGAAAGAAAAAATAAAGAAAAATACACAAGATTTTTTATCTGAAAAAAAAAAGACACTAGACCACACGATAGCGGATTATTTTTTAGAATAAAAATTTGGTCACTCATCAGAAAATCAACGATGTTTTGCATATGATAGTCGTATGCATTCGGAATCGTATACTGAATCCGCCATCGTGTGGTCTAGTGTCTTAATAATACTAATAATAATTTATTTGCTTTTAAATGAGATACATTGTAGATTGAAATACAATTTGAGTTCAGCCCATTTAGCCATCAGCGATAGCATGCAAATATTGATACAATTATAAAGTCACGTTGGATATATGTATGTCAAAATTATTAAATTAGAAATATCATTGTTACATAAAGCTATTACAGAGTACAATCATTATTCCCACTTGAAGAATGTCAAACAAATTAAATTATAAAATCAGTACCAATATAAAAGTAGATAATGTCCAATTGAAGAAGAAAAAAAATAACAAACTAAAAAACACACATTTAAAGATATTACACATACAACATATGCATTCGTTACTTATTTTTATGATTTAAATATTTCCTAACACTATAAAAAGCATAATATTTTTTCAAATAAGAAAACTTGTCTAATTTTCTTTATTTTTCCTTTCCTAAACCAATTATTTTACCGAAGGTTAGTGATTATAAGAACTGCAATCATCAAAACCAAGATTTTCTTGGCATTCTATCTCTTATTCTCGTTTAATAGAATGGTTATTTGCTCCAACAAATGTGAGAGCAGAGGAAGATGATTGTTAAATAAATAATGTATGACACCATACTGCTATGCCAGTTTAATTAACAAAAAAAAAAATCTCCCGTGGCTGTTTCGGTAGTTGTTTCAGATATTACCATAGAAAATAATAGCATATACAGAAACTCATAATACACATATACAAGAGTATATTGTTACATAAGACATATTAAAGAATCTTAAACTGTGTTAGGGTTTGCATTTATATACATATCATAATTATAATTATTTATTATATACTGCTAATCCACAAGCCGTTGTTAAAGACAGAAGATAAAGTACGGAGAAGGGTCCATAACTTACCAAGCAGACTTAGCTTAGTTTGGTAGGTGCTAATAACGCTAATGTACTCATACAAACGGCTTCAATTACCCTCCGAAGTACGAAGGAGATCGAGGTAATTTTTTGTCATCTATTTATCCATTAGAATAGGAATCCAGCCATTGCGAAAATGGTTGAAAATCCACAACTACATGGCGAAATATAACTATTGCACCATCGAGCTCCACAAAATGACACAGCACATACCGAATTCGTATCAATATCATAATATTAAGCTAATTATGTAGGAGGGGTCTGGGGACCACAAACAATGGTTAATTCCGTTAGCCCTAATCAGATTTCAGCAACAAACAATTGTTATAATATCATTAATCACCCGATGGATCGCCACACCAATTAGACGTACAAGGAATACGTTAATATGATATTGTATCGTGGGTGTAAACGACAAAAAGCTGATATCAAAAACAAAAAATATATTTTTCATCAGATAATTGCTTGAGAAAACAAATGTCTCAGGTGACGATAAGTCAGCAGTAGATATTTTCAAAGTTATATCTAATTAAGACGCCTCGATATCTAATTATATTAAGTAGTACTTAAATTCGCTTGGCGTTAAAAATTATGTCCCATTCGGCTGCCAGATGCGATGCCGATCCACACACCAAATCTAATCTGGTATCCACTGTCCAGCTCTTGAAATCACTTTTCATAATGTCGTGAATACATCCCGCTTAAAAAATAAAAACATTTAATGTTATTTATTTTAAACTGCGCTAATAAGTACAGACAACGAACGGTTTTGGTGTTCATTCATTTTAAGATAAACGCAAATAAATCCAAAAAAGATACGCTAAATTAGGCGAAATAATGGAATTTCAGATGCTTTGTATGAATGAAAAGATATGAACCATCGCACATGTACGCGCTAAATTCCAGTCACCTTTCATTCATTTGCAAGGTGTAAAGAAAACTCGTTTTGTCTGTCTCCGTCGGCCCTGTTAGATATGCAATCTATTTTCGTATACCTATTTTCGTTTTGTATTAATTTTACGATTGTCAATAAGCAATAAAAAAAAAATATATTTGATCAATTTTGCTTTCACAAAGACATACTGAAAAATTGTTATATTTAAAAGTATTAGTGCTATATTTAGGTTTTATGCTTCTTGTATTGACAAGCATAAAAAATAAATAAATAGGGAGATTTTATTGAATTAACTATTAATTTATTTATTATAAACGCTTAATTAGAGTATAATACAACCATTCGTTACATAGATATCGTTCATTTTTAGAGTACAAAGCCACGGTGGACTCAAGCCAGCTACGTACTTCTACGATTAATCTTTTTAAACTAACTTTCTAAACTATTAGGTCCATAACGAGATTTATTTCAATAATATTGAGTTATTTTATCAATAAACTATTTTAAGCTAAATATTGACATACCATCATGACTGACTAACTAACAGAATCTTAACTTTGCCCGAGTAATTAATGAAAATATAATTTATTACATTTATTCGCTTTAACATATTTAAATCAATAAAATCTTCATCTTTTTGTTAATGTCAATTTAAACACAGCAAAAGCTATCCGGAATAATTGTATTCGGAACTATATAACATTGCAATATTTTATAAAAAACAAGACAAATGCAGTTCCAAATACGGTTTCATTTAGTATTAAATTGTTCTTAATGGTAGACTACCGTTAAGAACAATTTAAGAATTCAAAATAAATTTCAATTTGTGAAATATACAATGTCACAATTTAATCATTACCGCTACTATGTTTCGTAGCCATTCGTAGCAAAAAATAAAAAGACGAAGCACTCACCAATCGTATAAGTAGCGCCATCTATCTGAAATGTCGCGCTCTTACATTTCTTGAAAACTTTCCCGCTAACCACTTGCCTAGTGGCGCTGCCGTGGGTGGCAGGGTTTGACGCAATCTCCCGCACGGCGGCGCTACTATGGCATCTCACTCGTAGCCCGATCAGCGACGAATCGTTCGATGGATCCGGCGACAGATCAGGCGTTCTGTCGCGTCTCGCCCGTCGCGATGGCCCTAGTGGCCGCCCATCACCGTTCGCTTTTTTGTCCATTTTTTGGTTCACTATCACACCGTCACTGTCACAGACACATTATCCTTGATCACTTACAGTATACTGGCACTGTCACTGGAATTAAGATATATTTTTTTAATCAATTAAAATAGTTACAAAATTATGTATGGCTTTTGAAAATATTATGATGACTTTCGTGGCCAAAAAACGAAGTTCCATTGTTTTTAAAGTCCCCGAATTGGTCTCGTGAATAATACTTAATTAATGTTTGATCTTTTTAGTTAAAGTATACGTAAAAGACTTGAAAACATGTAAATTAAATTGTAACTCATCACTAAATAGATCTGGCCGCGAGATCTTGTAAACGGAAATCAAAAAATACTTCAGATTCAGTCGTAAACATGTTACTAAATAGTTAAACAACAGCTACACTTCTGTTAGAGCTGTTTTAAGGTAAAAAAAAATAAGATAGAGCAAAAACGAGTATTACAGCCTTGATAATAAAGTCGTAATTAAAAAGCCCCAAGTGGTATAGCAAGGATGTTTAATAAATTAATGATTCGTACGAATTCGTACTCGTGTTTTTAATTTAGAAGTAATGTTGTTTACGAGTTGCCCTCAGCTGCCAAACAATTACGCCATTAAGCCAATTAAATGCTATTTTTGAACTATTTACTGGGAAAATTAAGTAATTAAAACCTTCGATCATATCTACGTGAATTGGTCAATAAAGTGTGATGGTTCATATGAGGCAATTACTTTATATGGGGAGGAATGGAGTCACATTAATTCTTGACGATGCTAACCTAATTACTTATATACCTGAAACGAAAAATGGAATAAATCCGTTTCGAAACAAAACTCACCAAATAATTATAGTAAAGGTAAAAAGACTAAGTTATTATGACATTATTCACAATATTTGGGCCATAAAAATGCTTCTACAAAGCTTTTTAACCTACTCTAGCTCTATTATACAGATAACTCCTTCTTTGTAATAGTTTTAAATTTATTCTTTCACTTTATTTTGAAATTATATTGAATTAAAAATGAAGTAGGATTATTATCCTCAGAAAAAAATATCATTTAATTGTTATAGCATGTTATAGTATAAACATGAATTTAAATGTACGATAAAAAGGACCCCTTCAAAGGCTCGCCTTCAAATTTTGCCTAAGGAAGAATACCTTGGCGTGTATATGTATGTATATATATGAATGTAGAATCTCTTTACCTGAAGGTCGACATATATAGATCTATTATGTATTTCGCGCCTTCAACTCAAATGTAAATTCAGTCGTACCAAAATGAGTTCGGGACTCACATTTGTGCGGGCCACATCTAATTCCAGTCCATTTCGTTTGACGAGTTGGCAGCTGCGCGAATGTTAAGTTGTTTCATTATTATTTTTCGTTTTAGTTCAATAAAAATTCTTCGTCAAACAGGTAGCAAGAGGTGTAGAAAATTAAGTTTGAGGCTCAAAAGCCTAAAGTAATTATACTATGGTAAAATAATTATTTACGGGGTTACTGCCATGTGTCTATATCTATTTATGTATATGGTATCCCTAAATCTCGTTGTATCATTATCAACAGAGTACGGTGGTAATATGAATTGATTGTTTTATCTTTTTTTTATCAATAAAAACTAATTTATATTTTATAGTGATATTTTATAGAAATTATCAGGGATGATGACTGGGTAAAAAAATTGCAATTCTATTTAGTCCGTCAGTCTAATAATAGAAAAATATTGGATACGTATTTTTTTTTACTTCAATTTAACAAGAAATAGCTTAGGTAACAGGCATTAAAGTTGAGGAGTGGGGGCTCGCTACGTCACAGTTGAGTAGAAAACGTACTCTAACGTGACGTCATGCGAAATTTCAACTCAATGTAACGCCGTAATTTTATGATTACGAAAAAAAATAAAAAATACGTGTTTAATATTTTTTAACACTCTACCTGACGGACAAACAAACAAAAATTAGTCATCATCCCTATTATGACTGAAAATGTTTACTTATCTAAGATTTCATGACGTAGGTAGTAAAAGAAATAATTTTGTATAGAAATAGGGAATTATACAGTCTTATGTTGAAAACTTAGGACGTGAAAGAAATACTAAATATACACCGGTACAATATTCCAGGGTTAAACTTATTCGGCAGCAAATGAAGTCGGCTATTTCATTGCAGAAATTACTAAGATTAGGGGTGTCTTACTGAAAGGGTCCTGTAGGCGTTTAGATATTGCGTGACAGTTGGCAACTAGTACAATCTCTGTACGTACGGAAAATATACCACCAAATTGAGGAAAGCCTCTGAAATTAAGTAGGTACAGGATATTGTGAAACAGGGGTCTACTCTAAAACTTATAAGAAATAGAATTTTACGTTAATAGATTGTTAAAAAAGAAAAGAAATAATAACATAAATCTACGTTGGAAGAACTTGTGTTGAGATGAGGACGCGAGAAACTAAAAAGAGCTTTTGTCTTGTGTAATTGATGTTAAGTTATAATAATTATGACTTCATTAGATATTTTAGATAAGCTAATTAAAGTAAATGGAGTTTCGTTTTTGTGTACCTTATTTTTGAACAAGAATATTAAGAAGATACTAGAAATTACAAAGACTAGGGATATAATAATATTCTGATAATGATATGAGATAAGCTCAAAATCAAATGCATGATACCTTTTCACGATTTCATGAAATATTTTAACCTTAAAATTTCCAATTCTCGAATTGGACAAATATAACATTTTGTATTTTAGAGTAGGAGTCCTAAATGTGCTGCCAAATCGAATGAGCTAGGTTACCCAGGTCAAAGTTTATTCGACCTTTGTGGACGTGTAAAAAGTTATTGGTGAGTATAACAGAAAGGAACATCGCATATATTGTTTTTGACGTTTTTTACTGCAAAATGGCTAAAAAGTAAACTGCAAATACTTTCACAGAGTATAATGCTGGTCTAACCATGTGTTGTGTTGTCAACATTTATCAGATAAAATAATATTTGAAATGTGATGTCAACAAAAGCCATTTTATATCATATACTGATAGTAATATTAAAATTGATTGACTGAGTATGTAGAGAAAACTATAAGACCTACGACGCATATTTTTACATACATCTGACGCTACAGGCACGCGGGTATTTATGGCTTCTAATATTACGATATGATAATATCGTGAAAGGTGTATGTTAGCCACCACCATCTTCTACCGCTTTCTATTTTCACGTTGTATCAATTTCAATATTCTATTAATATGTTTGAATCAAGGAAACTTTTACAGCGACATTATTTTTCAGGTCGATTCAATCCTTCTTATATTTATATTATGGATGGAATTATTACTATTTTTACGTGTTGATAGAATCTCGATTTGTCTATAATACTTATACGCTTCTCTCAAAATACGAAATATTTCAGTTTTATTTCAGTATTTATTCGTGATAGAAATTTTGATAAAATGCCTTGTACTTCACTCTATTTTTTAAACAAACTCCAGCGTTGTCGACTTATATGGCGAGCATGAAGTAAACTCCTAAGTCAAAAGATTTTGAAAGCTAAGTAATAATATTAAATATCAACATTTTTTAACATTTAAATTGTTATTAGAATAATTAGAGCCGAATCTTTACTAACATTAAATTGTTTTTATTGTATAGTTATCCACTTATCTTTAAATTGATTCTGTCACAATTGTGTTACTATTTTAATCATAAAACAACTTTGCAATATAACAAAAAGTGAAAACAAAGAATAATTTATTTTCAAATAAAGTATCGTTAGGCCCCTATTTTTTTTCTCAAATCCAATTTAAAAACAACGGGTAACGTATATGATAGTTCATTTATTTACATCTTTATTTTGATTCCATTTTGTGTAAATAAAGTGTTACAGACGTAGAAAGTAATTTAAAATCTTATTCTAAAATCCAACGCAGATTTCTCGAAGAGTAACAAAATGATAACGGTTCGAATTTATTTTAAGTAATAAGAAATTTTGCTTCTCTGAGCCGCTGATTATAAATGAATATTATTTTACTGATAAAAGGTTTAGGGTGAAGTAATGTGTAAGGAGTTTGAAAATAAGTTCCTCTTAAAATTTATAACTTTAATTTGCATTCAAAATTCAAACACAAATTAGAATTTAAGTTCAACTGGATTAAGTACTAGCGATTAGTGCCACTGTCCGTACATTCCCCAAACTTCTCAAACTACTTGTGACTTTAATGGTTTCTGAAAACCTGTTATATATATAGTTTTAGTCATATTGAGTTTTAATTCTTTCAAGACATTGGTTGGTTTTATTTGATCTCTTTTGATTATTAAACTGATACAATATGTAATGCCAACTATTAATTAAGTTTAGACTCAGTTATCAAAACCTATTGACATTCTACAGCTTTTTATTCCTGATATAGAATATATAATTTTCAATTCTATCTTTATAAAGAATAGGAGACGCAGTAATAACTCTTTTGTCCCAGCTCTACATTGACTCGTCCTCGGTCATTCATTTCTTGGCCTTTTTCATGAATTTTCTTTCGCCGAACCCATTTATTATTTCATTAGCGATGTTCCCTTAACTTTTACTCCACTATTTGTCTTGCTTTATTGGGGATAATGATTTCGCAATTTAGTTATTTTCGTACTAGAAGAACCGATCCTACGTTAAATGCATAAATTACATTTTTTTCTGAGGTAGAGATTATTAGGAAAAATGCGTATTTTTCCTAACAGAAACAAGTAAAGTACTTATATCTCTGATAGTATAGTTCTGTAAATATGCTATCAGAGATATAAATACGTTGGACCGAATTGCACTTAAATCTGTATTCGAGTCCAATTCGGAAACAGGTTATTTTAAGTATGTGTATTTTAAAATAAATTGCTTTTTACGAATATAATATTAAAAGTTATTTTACTCTGATTTTCAAATATGTTTAAAGTATGTTCCTTTTTCGGCGAACCCAATTAAATTATTAAGCCAATTGTCACGAAACGCTTTTTCGTTTTGACTGTTTGTG